CCCCCCCCCCCCCCCCCCAAACCTGATTCAGGTTGCACCAACGAAGAGTCTACAAGCCTGTAACTTGGGGAAGGGACTGTGCTTGAAGATGTTGTGAGAGCTGCTCCTTGTCTGGTTTGAGTGTTGGGAGATTAAAATACAAACAAAAAGCCTTGTGCACAGTCATGTCCTGGAGGGAGGAGTTTTACTCCTAGCTGTACCAATGTGCTCTTCAGTGTCTATTCTGACTTCACTAACAGGTGCGGCTGCTGTTCCCCCTAGGGCATCTTAAAAAAGACACTACTTAAAAGGCTGTTTGTACAGCTAGGCTATTGAACTCAAGTACTTCTGGGACAGTGGTGTCAGCAAAGCTGCTTCCTTCTCTATCTCCAGAGACTGCATTCATCTTACTGTGCCATGGCAATACTGAACTCAAAATTGATCGGCTCTTTTTTTCTTCTCTCTCTCTCTCTCTCTCGAGCTAGCATAAACCCTCAAGCCAAAGATCAGACTGGGAGAAGGGACAGCTCCAAGCTGTAGGTTTTCAGTTAGGTTAAATGAACTGTATGAAAGAGTTCACTAGTGCGTGACTTGGAGATTATTCCAGGATCAGTGTCTGTGTGCAGACCTCTGTTGAAGTCTAGTGGCATTCCAAACTGGTACAGGGATCTGCCCATGCAGAGCTTGTGAGATTGGGGCCTTGGATTGTAAGCCCATCTAGCGAGTAAGACAGTCTCTCATTTGTGTGTAAAACTGTGCTCGATAACCGCTTGGAATCTTAAGAATTTTTTCTAAATCTCTTGTTGACATTTCAGATAGTAACATGATTTTTTGCAAATTTTTTCATCAACTCTTTCACTTTTTGATCAGTTCTACTGTGTACATTTATGGTACAGTAGTTATAGTAAACCCAGCAGACTGGTCACTGACTGTTGTGATGGACCACAAATGATGAAGATGTTGATTTTGTATAACACAATGGACAGAAATGGAAAGGAAGGAATTCAGTGGCTGATCTGTCCTGCTGCCCATATGTAACTACACGATTTCACCTCACAGTACTCTGGGAACGTATTCCCAGAACTCCCTGTGTATTGGAATGAGTCTCTAGTCTTAAAATATTATCAAGTGTTATGGTCCTTTATTTTACAAAATCAACTCCATTTACACATGAAGTCTTACTTGTGGCTGATTCACAATGTGGTGTCTCTCCTCAGGAGACTACAAGGTTTTTCGTGACGATGCTGTGTTTTGGGTGACCTTTTCCTGCATGGCATTGATGGTGCCAATAGTCTTTGTTGGCTGTCCAAGAATTGTAAGTATTTGCACTACCTGGCTTCACTTTCTACAACGGTTGAGCATATGTGTATCTCTGAAAACAACATACTCCTCTAAAATTTTTGGTAGAGGAAGAGGTTTGCCCAGGGATGTAATCAAAGAGCCTTGTGCAGCTCTCCAAAGAGTCCTGACTCTCTGAAACCTTTAGAGCCTGCTCCTTACTTGTGTGTTAAATACATAATTTGTGGCATATTTTGTTTGCATTGGGACCCGGTTGTGCTGGGTACAGTACAGACACACAAAAAACAGTCCTGAAGAGACTATAATCTTTAAGGGTATGTCTACACTGCAGTCGGAGGTGTCACTGCAGCACATGTGGGCATACCTGAATTAGCTTTGATTCGACTAACTCAGACAATAGCAATGAAGCCATGGCAGCATGGGCTAGCCCCTAGAGCAAAGGTTCTCAAACTTCATTGCACTATGATCCCTTAGTACTACACGACCCCTGGAAGGAGGACCAAAGCCTGAGCTTGAGCCCTGCTGCCCCAGGTAGGGGGCCAAAGTCAAAGCCCAATCACCACCGGGTGGGGGCGGGGGCCCAAAATCTAAGCCCAAGCACTTCAGCCCCAAGAAGGGGCTTGCAACCTGAGCCCCGTCACTAAGGGCTGAAGCCCTCAGGCTTCAGCTTCAGCCCGGGGCCGTTGGGCTCGGACTTTGGATTTGGCCCCAGGCCCAGCAAGTGTAAGCCAGTCCTGGGGACCCCATTAAAACGGTGTCGTGACCCACTTCAGTTGGGGTGCGGGAGGGGGTTAGGGCTCTGGGCTGGAGGTGCAGGCTCTGGGATGGGGCTGAGGATGAGGGGCTTGGGGTGCAGGAAGGGGTTCTGGGTTTGGGGGTGGGCTCAGGGCTGGGGCAGGGGTTAGGACGTGGGGTTAGGGCGTGGACTTACTGCTAGTGGCTCCCGGTCAGCGGCACAGCCGGGGTGCAGAGGCAGACTTCCCGCCTGTCCTGGCACCACAGACGGTGCTGTGCCCCAGAAATGGGCAGCAGAAGGTCTGGCTCCTAGGTAGAGGCATGCAAGCAGCTCTGGGCAGCTCTTGCCCAAGGGCACCACCCCCCGCCCAGCTCCCATTGGCTGGGAGTGCGGCGCCAGTGCTCGGGGCCGGAGCAGTGCGCGGAGCCCTGTCTCCCCCCTGCCTAGAAGCCAGACCCTCTGCTGGCCACTTCCTGTTCTGACACCATACTGCGCCCCGGTAGGTGCTGACCAGAGCCGCTAGGGTCCCTGGGTGACCCACTGCCTTACATGCCACGACCCACCCAAACTTTGAAAAACACTGAACTAGAGTACACATCTAGGGTCCTGCTCGGGCTTGTACAGCTCAAGTTGCCGTTGCTTTACAGCTCTGATCTAGCAAACTTAATAACAAACTCGGGTATGTCTATACGTGCTGCAATTGCCCTGCCGCAGTGTAGACGTACACTGAAACAAGCTGCAACAAGTGTTTTGAAACAAATAAAAATGGGGAACGCAGGAGGGAAGACCAGGTTTAAAAAAAGAATTCTCCCTGTGCTGTCGGTATGGAAAAGGTAAAAAGAGGATGTTCTTTAGCTGGCTCCTGAAAGATCTGACCTTTCTGTCTTTGTAGCTGAACATATTGGCCTGTGGCATAATAGGCTCTTATTCAGTCATCTTAGCTATTGCTTGTTACCTGTACACAAGCCTCGCTTACATCACATTGGACCTACTCAGGAGGGTTCTGAATGACGATTTCAGCCAAGCTTACACCAATGTGCCCTTCCAAACAAATGGTGAGTAATTAGGTTTTGTCTCTTCACAAACCACTAAGTAAAATGACTCTGAAGCTCTTACTGAGAAGAGCTACTTGTTCCAGAGCCATAGCTATCTGGTACTTCCATGGCTTCTGCCTTGTGGTATGTGAGCACCACCCATGCATTAAGATGACTGTGTTCTCTCTCTTCCTTTCTACTGAGGGATTTTTTGAGGCTTTTCTTGAATGTAAATTAATGGGTGAGGAGGTGGGTTTAGCAACTTTCTTTAGAGCAGCTCCAGGCTACTTGGCAAGGATAGGCTGAAGTACATGGCTTCCAGATGCAACTAAAAGCTCTGGGCTTCTGTAAAATCCCAAATTCCAATCCGATTTTAAGAGAGGCTAACTTTTACCCAGTGTGAATCCTGTAACAAATGCCTGAATCGTGCCAAGGCGAAGGTGTCCATTTAATGATTAAGAACTGGTTTTGGAAACTTTCTCCCCACATGCTAATCTTCACTTTTTTAAAAAAAAAATCTTAATCACCACAACATGCTTGAGACAAATGATCCCCCATTTATAGATGTAGAAACGGAGTTTAAGTGAGTTGCCCAGAGTTGTATTTAAAAAATAGTGAGGCAAAGCTGGAGTTGTAAGTTTTTTAACTCAGTCCTGTACTTCAACGACGAGCCCCCTCTCCCTCTACAAACATACTGTTGTAGTAGGTATCCAGCCCTGTATTTTCCATTCCCCTCTGACAGTTTGCTCCAAGCCATGTCAGTATGCAAATCAACATCTAAATCTGAGCCTGACCTTCCCCCCAGAAAAGCAACGTCGCTGGAGTGGGAAAATCCCTTCCTTCTGATACTGTTTGAATGAATGGCTTCCTATTCCCCTATAGATATAATCATCTTGGCAGTATGGGGGATGCTGGCAGTCGGTGGAATAATGGTGCAGCTTCGCCGAGAGAGACGTGAGATACCCTTCCCACCACACCCTTATCGTATCTGGAAGCGAGAAAGGGAGCGCAGGATTACTAACATCCTGGATCCTAGCCACCACATCCCTCCTCTGAGAGAGAGGATCCATAACAAACTGTCGCAGATCAAGGAGCTCTTCCGAAAAGAGCAGCCAGCTGGGGAAAGAACTCCATTGCTTCTGTAATTAACCAAATGGTGCACATTGATAGCTACTCAAAAGGGCTCTAAGCATCTAAACTGAGGTGGTGATGACCAGCATCTGTCCAGCAATGCTGACGTGGTGTTCTTATGACCTAATCCCGCTTAACAAAGCTACAGTGTATGCCGGACGTTGAAGACAAACCTTTATCTAGCTGATACGCTGAATGCTGTCCTGTGCTCTTTCTCAGTGGCCCATTTGTCCTGCTGTAAAAACTTCTGGTTCCTGCAGAGACCTTGCACTAAGGGTGGAGTATATTTGAGTGCAATGACTAAGGTGTTTCTCTTTGTGAGTCTTGTGTGTGTTGGAAATGTTTAGGTATGTGAAGTCTAAAAACAAAAGCCTGAGAAGGTAACTTGTGATTTAAATATGTGCAATGTCAAAACTCTTCCCTTGTATCTTGTAACGGATTTTCAAGAGACCACCTTGATTCTCACCAGACATGAGCATCCTATGCTGAACATACAAGGGAAGAAATACTAAAGACAGACTAGATATTGAAGTATCCTAACTGCAGTGTCTTCACAACTATTAAACCTTCAACATTGGTACGAAACCTACATCTCTGAACACAGTAATGGTTTTTAATAGGTCTATTACTGAACCATCACAAACTGTACTTGTGTTTTAATTGCACTGGATTAATATTTGTATTCCTGTGTGTTCAGCAACTGGACTCTGCCTCAGAGATAGAATAA